AGGCTGCACTCAAGAAGAGATTTTGCTGTCAGCCCGACACATTTTATACCATCTGTTCCAAGAGAACCTGCACACAGTGGAATTCCCTGTCCAGTTTATGACTTCAAACAGACTCCATATGAAAGCTCCAGCATTTCTGCACGCCACCTTGAGCTGTGCTTTCTGAAAGCAGTATCCCTCTATGTCTCTGATTGTATTTCAGCCAGAGTCATTCTGTCCCAGCTCCCTGCAAACACGCCTTTTAAATAGAACAAAACCTGGGAATGGCTTGTGACATGCCACCCAGTCTTAGCCTGTAAAGAACAAGAGTTTCTTGTGCATGTTAAATAGCAGATGAATTGAATTCTTGGCCCGACTCTCTGACAAGGTCAAATCTTTGCAAATCTAAGAGGTGATCACTTCCTTGAGCACATGAATGAAATTATCAAATACAATCCCATAATGCTTTAGGAATCATACTTTAGTTTATTGAATACATCTTAGATAATTTGTATTACTTAAAAATGGTAGAGTAATACAGAATACTTGAGTACTGAAGGGGGAAGCTGAGCTTCTAGGGCTGTGAGCAACCTTGCTTTCCAACTAAGTATGCAGATTATAACATATAGTGACAACTTTCAGCACCAAGCCATGGGAGCAAGGAGGCGAATGTGTGCAATCCAGCAGATATGGTACTAATAAAGGTACAAAGAAAAGGGAAACTGTGGAGCTATTATCAATGTCCACATATGGCTCTTCTCTGGGAGGGCCAGACAATGGCCTCCTTCTGCTTCATTATAAATAAGTGTATTTAAATATATACATGTAAGACTTATAGCAAAATGGATTCGAAATATATTCCATAAGTGTACATTGAATTTAAGAAGGTAGTCAAAGGAGACACTACAGACCTCCCCTAACTTCACCTACAGAAAGCTCAGACAATTCCAAGTTGGGCTTGGTTTTATACAGTATTAGTTCACCTTGAGCTCATGTGGATCAGAAAGACAAACCTGTATGGATCCATCTCCAAAGTTCTGACAACTGACATCTGGCATGAGAATAAACTTAGAGGGAAAGTGTTAGTGGCAAGGTGGTTAGGACCCTGGGCAGTGCAGAGTTAGCATACTCTTGGGCCCTGGAACCAAATCCTCATAAATATGGAGGGGTGACTCTAAGTGTAAAAAGTTGAGATTATTTGCTTGATGGAACCCACATGTTCCCCAAGTCTTCTTAGCACACATTTATGACCCTCAAAGATGAATGTTCTGGAACATGAAAGAATCTATATATTTTGTGTTGCTTTCCACCAGTTACTCTAGCAAGATAACTCTTCTCCATATTATCCCAGATTTGGATTCATTTACCAAATCCTCACGGATTGTTCAGCATTGGGAAGAAATACTAGTTTAATACAGAGGATGCAAAATATTTATAATATTTGAAACAGGTATTTGATGATATTAACAACAATGACCTCAGCTATCATTCATTATATCACCCTTGAATAGCTTGGGAAGGAGTGTCATGCAAAATGTCTCCTAGTGATCTGATCTTTGTATCAGAGGACATCAAAGAGGAAGGGGACCATGATTCCCCATTGTCTCCTTCAGCCCTGGATTTGTCCTCAGGCAAAATATCCTCCCTCAGATCAGGGTAACAGCATCCCAAGGCTTCCCCACTTGTCTGGAGAAAAGACATCTCACTCATCAACAAAGTGCTTTTCTGGATGGCTGTGCTATTTCAGTAATTTTATCACTTTGGAGGCTAACAGATGAGGATCAGGAATTTGAGGCTAGTCTTAGCTATGCAGTGAGAAATGTTTTCAGAAGATGGTGAACCACCCCAGACACAGATAGGCCATGTTTCTAGAATTTCAAAGCAAAGCACCAGCTTCTAGAATAATACTATGTTCTAGAAGTAGCATTCTGGGCTCTACCCAAGTTCCTGGCCATTCTCTCTCATTTAGTTTCTATGGCTTATCCAGAAATCTTTTATGGATTTGATTGGGCTGAGTCAGTTCTAGGGAAGAGAATAACATTCATTCATTTCTTTCTTTCTTTTTATGGTGTGTGTGGGGGAAGTTCTAGGGACACATCCTGAAATGTCATGACTAAACCTGGGAATGAGAGACCTTTCTGTTTCTTGATTGTAATTAAACATGTGGCAAATGAAAAAAAAAAAAGGGAAATACATTATCTGTAATGTGGACAGCAATAGAATTGTTGCTGTTTTCCTAATGAAATATGGTTTATATCACAGTGTCTTGGCCACTTTCCTATTGCCATGACAAAATACCATGGCCAAGGCAACTGATAGAAGAAAGCATTTGGTGGGGGCTTACAGTTTCAGAGGGTGAGTCCATGACCATCATGGTAGGGAGCATGGCAGCATGCAGGCAGATATATTGCTGGAGCATTAGCTGAGAGCTTACATCTGACTAACAAGCATGAGGCAGAGAGAGTTAATGGGGAATGGTGTGGGGTTTTGGAGCCTCAAAGCCCACCCTCAATGACACACTTCCTCTAATAAAGCCATTACCTGCTAAGCTTTCTTAACTGGGGACCTAGCATTCAAATATATGAGCCTATGGGAGGCCATTCTCTTTCAGACCTCCAAAACACAGTTAATTTATAATGAAGAATTCCCTGATTTTTAAACTATTTGGCAGCCATTATAACATTATAAATCTGAAAAAAATCAAAACAAACAATATAATCAGTATACTTTTTTCCCTTTTTCGATTTTAGTGTGTGTGTAGGGTGTGCATGTGTGTGGGCACACACATGCAGTTAGACATGTATGTCGAGGCCCCAGGGTGAGGTACAGTATAGCACTCCATTGCTTTCCCATCTTATTTATTGACACAGGGTCTCACAGTCAAACTTAGAGCTGGCTGATATGGCTATTCTCTCTAGCCAGCTTGTCTGTGGCCCCACTGCGCTTTCTAAGGCTAAGACCACAGGCAGGCTTTCAGGCCACCCTGTATTTTATATTTAATATGGGTTCTAGGATTCAAACTCTGGTCCTGTAAACACTTGAGCCTCCAAGCCATCTTCCCAGCCAGAATCACTAGACTTATAAAAAGCCACTTATTAATAAAAGCTCAAATCATACTGAGTTCATGTTATTGGCTCTTGAAGACAATAAAGAATTTTCCAGTGTTTGAGGAAAAGGGCTAAAATTATATTTGCTTCAGCTGACCAAAAAGGGAGCATTATATCTTACCTTGGCTCTTAATCTGGTTCCAGAGGAAATCTAATCTTGAAATCAGAAGAAGAAATTTTACTTGTTTTAAAGAAATTTCTGTAAAGTTGCAGATTGGAAAATTGGGACATTTGAATTTGGAAAGGAGATTCAAGTGCCTGAAAGCAGTTCTCATACCAAAGTGGTGATTTCGTCTTTGAAATGTTAATGACAGGCCATGCACCTCTGTTCTAACTAATCAGGGACTGTAAGGACAGAGGTGGGACTGAGGGAAACAGCTTGCCAAACAGCCGTGAGGTCCTCAGTGTGACAGAAAGCACCCACATAAAATCTGGGTGTGGCTGTGTATACCTGGACCCCAATACAGGGGAGGCAGAGACAGGAGGATCCCTGGGGGTTTGCTGGACAGCAAGTCTAGCTGAATCAGCGAGCTCCAGGTTCGGTGAGAGACCCTGCTTAAAAACTATGATGGAGAGTAATTAATCAGGATACTCAATATTGAGCTCTGGTCTCTACGGGCACCCGTGTCTGCACACATGTGAATATGAATGCACTCATGCACAGATACACACAAAAAGTTTAGGGCTGGAATATCAGTGGCAGTGTTACAGGATTGTCCTTTGATCTCTGCAATGGCGCTTGTACTATCACAGCTCTGTTCTGGACTCTGCTCAGGCAGGCAATAAATGGGCCCTTCTTACTGGTGTCAGCAATGTAAACAACTCCATTCCAATCTCGGGTGCCATAGGCTCTCCAGAGAGATGCTGGGAATTTGGGGAAGAGGTCTGAGAGAATCAGAGCCGTCCCACTTAGTTTTATTCATATTCTCCTTAGAGAGAAACCCAGTTTGTGATGGTCACGTGGCTTCCTTTCTAGTTGGTTCGTGCCAGTTTATGTTCTGAGAGAGTGCTCACTCACAATGGCTAGTCTTTGCCCCCAGGGACTTTCTAAGAATAATCTCTTGACTTCCTCTGAGTTTAATCTAAAATAGGGCCTAAGAAATAAACATCCCTTATTGATAAACAAAAGTGGAAACGGTGCCTGACTGAAAAGAAAGGCCTTGCCTAGAGCTCTCTCTAGCAACTTGCCAGTTTCAACTGAGAAGCCAGGCTGACTGCTTTGGCATTATTCTTTCATTACAAAATAGTAAGTAGTGACTGACTGTGACTAAAAGGAGGTAGAGTCACAGTGTCTTCAAGTCCCCCCACCCTCTTCAATGTGTCGGGGAGTCCCAGGTACCACAACACTGTTCTGAATTTTTAAAGAGCCTCCAGGGATCACCAGCTCCCAGGATCTCTTCCCTTCCCAGGAATGATAGCAACATTTATCTGCCTAAAACAAACAAGTAGATACATTCAGGGTGGCTGAGACCTTGAGGGAACTTGTCTTTTCAGCCTCCAGTGAACTCAGAAGCAAGGACACTGTGGGGCATTTAACTTCATCAGGAGAAGAATATGAGGAACACTGTTCCCGAGTGTCACGTATGCATGCAGGAGTTGGCAGGACTCCAGGGAACAGGTCTTCAAGGTTGTCATCCATCTCAACGAGGGACAGTCATCTGATCAAAAGGCACTGGGATGGAGGCCATTCACCCTTCAGGCTGTTGCCCTCACTAGTCCTTTACAGCCCTGAAGATGCTTCAGAACCCAAAGGAGGGAGGTGATGCCTTATCTCGGAAGCAGAGGAATTAGAAGACCAGAGAAAGGAATGAGTGGGTACCAGGGCGGGAGGCTGGGCGTTCCAGACTAGGGCAGCAACACAAAGACTAGCTGTGGATAAGAGCATTGCCTTTTATTGGCACAATCCCAAGAGCTCAGATTCCTTTGCTCGTGTGTTTTTCCTGCTTCAGGAGGACAGAGAAAGCCACTCAGGTGGAGTGGGCTGGACTCCGTCGCAGAGGGCTTTGGGACCAACCGTGGCTGGGGATGGTCTCAGCAGTGAACAGGTAGGTTTAAGCGGAAGGAGCCCCTTTACTTCTTGGAGGGCAGTGACCCCAAGAGAAGAGGAGAAAATGCATTCTGAGCATTTCACAGTTGAATCCACAGAACTGAGGGCACTCTGAGAGGGAATAAAGCAACCCAGGACCTGAAAATGTAAAGGTTAAGAAGTCCGTAGCCTCGCTCGGCATGGTGACTCATGGCTGTAATCACAGTGCTTGGGAAACTAAGGCAGGAGGATCCAACGTTGCAGGACAGCCTGGCCTTGCAGTGAGCTCCTGGGCTCCTCTGTTCCATTTTCTCTCCACTCCTTTCTCTGTGAAAAGCAGCGTCACAGTTCCGCACACCAGTTCCGGGTGGCTGGGCTGAAGCTCGGTTCATCAGGATATTGTAAGCCTTTCTGCTAGAGGCTGGACTCCCTGGTCCTCAGCTCTCTCCCCCATGGCACCCAGCCCCTTTCCCAGCTGTTGTCGATAAGGGGGGATAAACACATGCATAGGTGAAGAATGACTGTGTCACACAGTGCGGCCATTGCTATGTAAATTGGGCTGGAGTATTGAGAAACCACCATGAGCCACCACATCTTTGCCCTGGATATTCTACCTGATATATATAAATATATATGCATATATATATGCACATATATATTCCAAGCACTTGTAGGTGGCCCCACCACAGAAGGCAGCTGTCCTTTCATAGGTTGGGCCATGACAGAGCTAGCCTGCCAAGCCAGGAACTCCTTCTTCTCTACTTTCTTCCTTGGATCCTGAGCCCAGGGGCTTGCTTTACTGGGTCCTTTCTAAGTTAAAAACTCAGGTTTCCATATCTTGAAGGAGAACTTGTTATGTGACGAAAACAAACATCTTTCTATTCTCCACTGACAACCCTTTTTACTTTTTAAAAGATGGGGTCTCATATATGCCAGGGTGACCTCAAACACACTATGTATGTGGACCCTCCAACCTCCACTTGCCAGTCTTCACTGGTTAAAGGTCGGTGTCACCAAGCCCTGTTTTATCCACCCACAGGTGGCGGAGATGCTATGTGTTCGAAACCTTCAGCTGTAACACAACAACTGTCCCTCCTTCTCCGGCTTCTTGCTATGTGCATAGTTGCCTTGGCCCCGATTTGCAGTGAGAGTTTCTCTCTCTCTCTCTCTCTCTCTCTCTCTCTCTCTCTCTCTCTCTCTCTCTCTCTCTCATTAGACTAAGCAAAAATGTGCCTGATGAATTTACTTCAAGGTCATTAACTAGGAAAGGAGGAAGTCCCATTTTTTATGACCAGCAGCAGACATTTCTTTCTTTCCTCCCTAATGTCAGGTTGATTGGTTTCTTGCTACATTTTCCACTGTCCTTGGCTTACACAGTCCCTAGAAATGTACGATCAAGGTTCAGAGCCAAAAAAGTGAGACCACAGAGGAGTCTCTGTGTTCAAGAGAGAATAGCTGGGAGCTGCCCTGGGAGGTCCCCTTCCTGTTACTGGCTTCATTTTAGTCATGCTTCCCTGCACACTCCCTCAAGTGTGTAAAGGAGAGCACTGTTCATCCCATACCCGTATTGGACTGTTTGAACTCCTTTTAGTCCTTCGTAATTGCCTGCTTGTCTTTCTCTTCTTTCCCAGTCTGATCAATTGCTTCACTCTGGACCCTGAAACCATTGGCCTGTCCATGCCTGACCCTGCCTCCCACAGCAGCAGGGTCCAGGAGTGTCAGTCACCAGGCTCCGTTTGTTTTTGCAGACTGATTATTAGCACATAGTCAAAGGGACATGGGCTTTGTGTTAGCCTATGGGAAGAAGAGTCTATTGTTTATCTGTTGCCTAATTAAACTTGGTTCCTTGAAGGTGGACAACGTAAGACAAGGTAGAGATATGTTGACAGGCTTATGATATTGAGAATTATATAGGCATATGATTAACTACCTTCATTTTGTTGTATACTTAAACCTAACAGATGGATTCTTGTCTGATTTGATTTTTTTTTTTTATTTTGGATTTTTTAAGATAGTCTTATGTAGCCCTAGGCTAACCTCAAACTTTCTAGATAGATAAGGATGACCTTGAACTTCTGATGCTGGGATTATAAATGAGAGGTTACCATGCTCAGTCTTAACAGATATATTGTTGAAAATGTTTGATTAAGGTGAAATTATATAACACACACACACACACACACACACACAGAGAGAGAGAGAGAGAGAGAGAGAGAGAGAGAGAGAGAGAGAGAGAGAGAGTATTGGTACATATCTATAATCCCAGGAAATCACTGCCTTGATCTACATAGTGAGCTCTAGACCAGCCCAGACTCCATAGTGAAACTTTGTTCCCAAAATCACCAAATAACAAACCCATTAAACATTGTAGTACTAGCAGAGAAAGATTGGTTACTTAAAAATGAAAAACAAAGTTGGAATGAATAATGCCTCTCTACTTAGTTTTCACAAAAACAAGTCCATACAAAGGAGTTGAATTTGCTTACAGTGGGGAGGGCAGCCTGGATCGTGACAAATGCCACACACAGTGCCACGGAGGCTGAGGCTTGTGACCGTATCTGGCATCCGTGTTGACTGGCTCATGCTGCTCTTTGCACTGTCCCACCCTGGGCTGAACCCCATGTTCCCTTTCCAGCTGGCTGGCAGAGTCCGTCCAGTTAGTGACTCAGGATGACTTCATTTATTTCAAGGTTTTGAATCAATGTTATCAAGATTCACATTACCCAAGGCATTGTTTCCACGACTGAAGACAGAAATGGACACCCAGTGACTCGCAGGGCACCTGTATTCTTAGAACATTACCTGGTCTGGGCTTGCTCTTTGGGAAACACCTCTATCCACCCAAACGCCTCCCTTCCACAGGTGCCAGGGTGAGCAAACACTCACATGGGGGTGGCTAGGAATCTGAAGTGCTCTGTTCTTTTCTGTATGGTTGGCTTTTTCCTCACTAGAACTTTCCAAGTTGCTCACACAAACAACTCTTCCCTATCCAAATTTGCTTTACCCCCTTCTAATGATGCCACTCAGTCAACGGCTCCAGTGAGAAAACAATAGTGTGCTTTTTTTTTTTTTTTTTTTTGGTCCTGATTATTTTCCTAAAATTGTTCCAGAGCAAAATCAAACTATTCTATTGAGAATAAGTTGCAAGATTCCACTCTGAATCAAGCGCAAGAACCAGGTTAGACCTGAAGTTAATGTTTTCGATGAGCTTCACTTGAACAGGTCAAGTTTGCATGCACTTAAACAGGTCAAGTTTGTATGCATCCTTGTCTCAAAGTTTTACAGGACTAATGAAAGGAGTTTATTACCACAGATATGATTTAAGACTAGTGATCTAGTTCCAGTCCACCTAACCCCATGGACAGGGAGTGTCCCTGGCATCTGTTCTGAAGGGTCACCCAGGCCATGCCCTTAGATCCTTGCTCAGACCTGGGAATGCTACCCCAGTCATGTGTCAGTCATTAGCCCTTGATGCAGGGTTATGGCAGCAGGAGCCACACACTCTGGATGCTTCCACCAGGCGAGGGTGTGACGTTGTAGGTAAATCTCACTTCCTTGCCATCACCTCCACATATGCTTCTTGCTCTCCAGAATGAATGTCTGTGAGTCTCCACTTCCCACTCATCAATTCCTTGATCCATACCTCAGTCTACCTGCCCCTTGGGCCCACTGGGTATAAAAAAACCATGCTCTGAGTAGGTAGTGCTGAGCTAAGCAAAACCCATTGGAGTATGGGAGAACCATAACACATTTGTCCAGATGGCTAAACCCTAAACTCCACCAACATCAAATGCCAGTGAGAATGTGGAGACAAAGGGATTTTTGTACACAGTTGGAGTCAATGAATGGAACGGGTGTAGCCATTATGAAAAATTGTATGCAGATGCCTCAAAAATTACAAACAGAGCTAGCATACAATATAGTAATCCCACTACGAGATACTTCTCCAAGGGAAATGAACTTAGAATATCAAAGAGTTACTTGCATGCTCATCATCATTGCAGCACTATTTGCAGTAGATAAGATATGGAAACAATCTAGACATCTGTTGATCAAGGAACTGAGAAAGAAGATGTAAATACACACACATATGCACAAAATACATCCTCGAATAGACTGTTACCCAACCTTTAATATTTCCTCAGTCATCTAGTACAATATAGAGAAACTTTACACTAAATCATATAAGCCAAAGACAATAAGACAAATAGCCCCACAGTGTCATTTATATGTAGCACTTAAAAAAGCTGAGTAGATGGGGCTTATAAGTGAGGAGGGGCTGTGTCTCAAAGGACGCCAAACTGTAGACAAGGTGAACAAGTTCAAGGGATCTCTTTTGTACATCATGGTGACTATGGTTAAGAGCAAAGGACTATATTCCTAAAAATTGCTGAGAGAGTGAATGCTACGACTCCCAAGGACAAAAAGTGATCAGTATGCTAACTCAAGGTAATAGATATATTAATTAATTTGATTGAAGTATTCTTCAGTGTATGTCAAAGCATCATATGTTATACCATGAATATACACAACACAATTTCTTTCTTCCTGGGGAGATGGATGTGACCATTGGTGGCTAGCTCAGCAGTCATCAAAGGTGCTGGGACAGATGTGAGGACAGAGTTCCAGGTAAATATAACAGCTATTATTATGACAAGCTAATAGTTTATTGTATTTGAGTTCATCGGTATGAATTGGGAGCTAAGACATTGCTTGGGATTGAGCCTTGTTTTTCCTTGTCTAGTGATAGAGGTGACCCAGTGAGGAAGGTACTGGTTTTGCTAGAATAGCACCACACTGCAGGAAGTGAGAAGTGACTCAGGAAGTGCAAATCCCACTTTTACCTATGTAACTAGGAGGAGAAGGTCACACACTTTCCACTTTATAATGCTTTAGCCATAAGAAGCCATCTCGAATCCATCTTCAGCTATTGATAGGCCATTGTTCTGTACACATACAATACTGTCACGAATTCAAAATGTCAATCAACACATGAGATCTGAAAGTGGGAGATATCTCTCAGTCACCTGAATTATGCATATGAAATAGAGATGAAGAAATCCAGCAAAAACTCTACCATACTTGAGTAAGAAGTGGGTCTTCATTCACAAAAATGTGAATGCCACAGATTTAAGAAAAACACAATGCAATTACTGTACTATTGATGTTCTACTTAAGCAGCATTCATCCTGTGGTAGCCCAAATTATTACACACTGTGTCTTTTTGTAGCCAGGATACAGATGCTTGAACTGTTACCACAAATGCCAGTGAAGAATCAAATCTTTAAGGTGTGCTTTATTCAGAGAGCTTTGATCTGAGAATGCAGTGGATTAACACCCTATACAAATGGCATCCCATCTCATCCCTAGTTCTCCGGCTAGCTGATTAGACAGGGATGGGTAAATGAAGATAGCCAGTCATTCTGGAGCTCAGTCTTGCCCCATTGGCTAGATGACCAACCACTCCTGAGACGTGTGATGTCTGTTCCTCCCTCATCATCCCTAGCATTCTTCCATTACCTCTGGGTGTCTGGACTTGGATACTTCTTGGAACCATTCCCTACCTTGTGGTTGGAGAGTTAACTCAGAACGGTCAGACCATTAACTGTGGTGTGCTAAGGTATTGGAAATCTGTACGTGCAAGTTCCTCTTACAACACGGAGTATTAGTGTGCCTTTATAATACAGACTATATTCTATGTTAACATACAGAATAGAATATAGAATACAGAAGCTCCCCTCACTCTCCTGCCCTGTCATCTTATCCTAACCTAAAACAAGTCTTTGAGAACAAGGATGTACTAAGTGCTTAGGCTTGGATAAAGAACCACAGGGAGTGATTGCCTGGTAATCACTGGTAACTACTAACTGGTACTGCTGGTAACAGCTACTGAGGCTTTGGGCCCAACCAGAACCCAGTCTCTAGTTAAAATCCTACCAAACATGAGCTCACCAGGCCTCACTGAACATCAAGACCCTTCTTTGTCTGGAGCTCTCTCATTATGCTGCACAGGCACTAAGCACGAGGTCCTGGGAGGCACCAAGAATAGGTTCCTATTCTTTTCCTAGGAAAGTGTAGCTATAACGGTCACTAGAATTTCAAGGAAGAACAGGTCAGGGCAATGGCCATTGGCAAAGCACAATGAGTGTATGCCAGAAGGCAAGGTCCAAAGGGACTAGAGAGGAGCTCAGGAAGAAACAAAGATGAATAGTTTAATTAAATCTGGTAAGGGAATTTGTGGTTGTAGGATCTGGAAAAACTCTAATGTCGGAAATGACAGGATCACTGCAGCACACACGTCATACAGACAGGAAGTCCTGAGACCCTGGCAGGAACCTGATGTTAGTTATTTTGGTTTGCAGACTAGGGTTGTGGCAAAGCCTAGAGGGAACTAGCCAATGGCAGGGGTACCTACTGCAAGAGCCACCTCTGGCCATGGCACCTACTGTAAGTTTCCATTACAGCCAGAAGAAGCTTCTACACTCAGCCCTAGGCAGGTGCTGAAACACCAGGAAAGGTTTTTTTTGTTTGTTTGTTTATTTTTTGGTTTTTCGAGACAGGGTTTTCTCTGTGTAGCTTTGCGCCTTTCCTGGATCTCACTCTATAGACCAGGCTGGCCTTGAACTCACAAAGATCCGCCCGCCTGGCTCTGCCTCCCAAGTGCTGGGATTAAAGGCATGTGCCACCACCACCCGGCGCTCCATGAAAGATTTTGTGGAGCTAATGTGAGAAGAGCCAAGAGTGGTTAGTTGTGTAGAAAGTAGATGACTAGAGTCTCCAATGTACTAAAGGTCAACATTCATGAGTGAGAGGAAAGAGGAGGAGGCATTGGGGACAGGGATGTGATGAAGGAAGACATTACGGGGTACACAGCCAGCCAGGCTCCAGGATGCATGATTAGTGAGGCAGTGAGCAGGAGGGAAGAGGAGCACGTGAAGAAGGCACAGAATGGGCAGGGATTAGTCCATGGGGGTGACAGGACATGCTCCGGGTCCTCCATACCCAAGGGACTTGTGACTTATGAAAACAATTCAACTTTCGCCATCATGGTGTTGGTCCATCTTAGTTTTAGAAATGAGTATGGATGAAGGGCCGGTCTGTCTTGGATGCGGCAGCTGGTGTGATGTAACCTTGCTGGCTCCTGATGACTTCCCAGATCCAGGGATGATGATCCTTGTGCTGCTGATTGCACTGGCCTCCCCATCCACCTGATTCATCCTCTGTCCTCTGCTTGTGGGTTCCTTGCTCTCTTTGGCTTCTGTGGGTAGCCAGCCAGTGCAAGTCTCCAGCAGGAGAGAGATAGACGCTGGGAGTGTCCTCTCTGTGTCTTTCCAGTTATAAATACTCTCTTTGGAGATTGAACTCAGCACTTTTCACATCCTGAGCCACACAGACCCCTTTTTTTGAGGCAATGCCTCATTATGCAGTCCAGGCTGGACTCAACATTGCCATCCTCTTGTTTCTACCTCTTGAGAGCTGGGATGACAGGTTTGTGCCTGGCTGTGCTTCACCCATGTCAACTGTATAGCCTCCACCTGCCCTGGGTGCTGACCACCCCTCTTTCCTCCCCTTCCCACCTGGATTAGACACAGCTATCCCACAGGTGCTAACTTCTGGGTGCCATTACACCCCAGAACTCTTATCTGCTCCTACACCATCTCTCCACCTTAAGCACCCAGAGCAAATCCAGTTCCCTGCAGGCCCCTGAGTCCTGAAATTCTGTCACATGCTGCTCTGCACAGGCTCATTTAACCCTTCTCACATTTTATACTTTCTTGATGAAGTGAAGGTTAAGACGCTCATCCAAAGCCACACAGAAAGTGCCACAGTGGAGGTTTGAAGCTGGGCAGAGCTCTGCACTCAGAAGCCTCTAACTACTGACTCATTCTGCCTCTCCCTAACCTGAGGTCATATTGCTGGAGCAGTAGGAAAAAGAGGGCAAGAGCCAAGAGCTCTAAACACACGCTCATGAGGTTCACATACTAAGCTTATTTGTAGGAAAGTCTCAGATCATATTAACCTACTCTATGCACATTTCTAACAGATAGGTTATTATTTTTCATATTTCCAGTGGTCCACGGACTGGACTGCTCAACAGAAACACCTCAGAAGGTTTATGATCTCTCAATGCTCAGGTCATACCCCTGGAATGATGGAGCCATAGCTTTGGGGATGTGATCCAAGCACATATAATCCTTAGGGGATTTCAACTTACTGCCACAATTGAGAACCACTGCCCTAGTGGACAGTGGCAATTGCTAGAAGGCAGAGGTGACAGGTGGAGAGGTCCGGGGGCTATAAGTAGAGTCCTGGCTACACACGGGGAGGATACAGAGGAGCTTGCAGAGTTTATGTACGATCTGAAAATAACATAAAACAAAGCAGCCATGATCAGTGATCATTTATGCCTGAGCAAACTGCTTCTAGGTCTGTGGACATCTTACCATTAATTATTACATCATAGCCATTTACTGAGTCACTTAAATAAATAGAATGATTGTCCATATGCTTTATTGAAGCAAAGGAAATGAATGTGCTTCAGAAAGTTTGTTTTTCCTGGAAGGTGACCTCATTTGGGCTATCCCCCACACCCACCTTTTAAAGACAGCGTCTTGCTGTGGAACCCAGGCTGGCCTTGAATTCCCATTTCTCCTACCCCTGTTTTCTGGGTACCAACTAAAATGATGGATTTCCAGAAGACAGCAAATATTTGTAAAACGCTTGCACCCGTTGACCTTCAGCAGAACTGAAGTTTCTCTGCCTTTGATTCATGGACACAGATGACATTTCCATATTTTCTGGACAGATGTGAGCTTACCAAGTCAAGGTGCTGGGGGAGGACGGGCCAGTGTCTTGCTGTCTTGGAAGCACTCCACAGCACCAGTGAAGGAAGGCGTCACGGATGTGAGTGTGGGATGTGACTCCCAACTGTTATTTCTGGGTTTTCCTTTTGGACTGGGCTGGACTGCTCCACCAGTGTACTCCAGACAGCAGACCAAACAACTTTTCTTTCTCTCTTGTTTTTCTCCAGGCCAGTCTTCTTGTTTACATACTTGCTGAACAGGCTGATGGTGTGATGTGAAAATGGCTGACAAGCTGCCACTGACGGCTGGCTTACCACTCCATCTACCGTGAGCTCAGAAGCCAGGGCACCATGCAAGGGGACATTCAACAGTCAGTGAAGGGACTCTGGCTAGCTTGAGTGTGGCAAGCATGGCTCTGGTAGGCCTTGCCCTTCTCTCTGATTCCCTCTGCCTTGCTAAAAACCATAAAGCTAGCCCTCAAGGTCTATTCCTTTATTTGGTCACTTGCTCCTTCTGAGCCTGGCTACCAAGGTCCAGCTATCAAGGTATTGAAGTCCAGTAATCAAAAGTCCTCTAATTGGCTCCCCTAATTAATATGCCCAATTAAAATTAAACACCCATCCTAACACAGAGTTTCCCTTGTACCTTTGTAAATTGCCATTTGCCTCTGTACCAAGTCTGTCTCCTCTCTATCCAGAGGCAGTCCTTTGTCCAGAGGCAGTCCTTTGCCCCCCCCCCAGGACAAATACCCCTGGCCCTTTTCATTTGTCCCCTTCCCCTTCTCCCTCATCCTCTATCTCCAGTCTTTGTCTCTTATTCCCTGCCCTTTGTCCCTCCAGGGCAAGTAAGTCTCCTTTGTGCTGAGAACTTGGTCCTGGGGGCCCTGAGCTGATACTTTTCCTTTCAGTCATCATGGCTGAACCATGCATGACCAACAAATATGCCCTCTCCTCCCCTCCACCTTGGAGCACCAATCCTGCAAACTCCTTTACTGTAACCTGCAGACTCCTTCCCTGGTTAAACACCAAAGGAGAAGATGCTGATACAAAAATGCATCCACTCTCTGGGAGAACACAGACATCAGCTGGGCATGCAGGGGACCTTTGGGGAGGTCTTCTGGGAGGTTCTGAGTGGCAATCCAGCTGAAGCTGGTTTCTAACACTGTCTGTGAATATTTGGGGCCAGGTCATTCAAGCAAAGGTCTCAGCCACCAGAGGTAGGCGGTCATGGAGTCCTCTGCCTCCTCCTGCTTGGTGTGGTAAGGGAGGGCTCTGGAAACAGTACTTGGGGGCGAGTCATCCTTTAGGGGAGTCAGGCTTTTGGATTCTGGAGGAATAGGGGGATATAATTGGTGCAGCCTCCTTCAAGCCTTCTGACCTCAAGATGGGCAGTGAGTAAATAAAGAAACCAATAGCAAAGCTAACCATTGGGATTTGTCTGTGGTGGTAGGATCCCAAGGTAGCTAAGCCACATAATTCAAAGGACAGCATTTTTTCTGTAAAATTCTGGTCCACTGGTAATGGTTAAGGCAGGTGAGAGACATACCAGAAGCTTTTAACTGGGTGACCCAGTCTGGACTGTAAGCCAACAGTATCTACTTTCTTGCTCTAAAGTACTATTGATAAGAAAATCAGCTGCTATTGCTAATATTTATTAGTTAATTATGAGGTGACAGGGATAGGTCTGAGTGTCACTTGATTTTAACTTCACGGAGGCCTTCCAGGGGGTGCTGGGATTCTCTGCAGTTTGCTGACCAGAAAATGTGAGTTTCAGAGAGACTGAATCTTCCAGGTATGAACTCTAACTCTAAGAGTTGAGATTTGAACCCAGGTGGCTGACCTCACAGCCTTGATCTTTTTCATGGGTATAACTGTCTCCACCCCTTCCTGTCCCCATAGTATGTTTACTGCTGAAGGAAACCCAAGGGTCTGGGCCTTCAGCTCATCTGGAAGAGGAAGTGGATCATTCTTTGCTCTATTCCCAGGAAGAGGGCTCTCTGAGTTCTCTATACACTGAAAAACCATAAAACGTCACTGAGAAAAATGCAAGAGGAGAGAAAGAAATGAGGCCACACATGTATTCAAGAACCAGAAGACTCGATGCTGGTAAAGATGCCAACCCTCCTCCCGAGGAAAATCCTAATACAATCTTTTGGTAGAAATTGAAAGACGAGTTTTTACTTCATGTGCAAACCTGTATGACCCAGACTAACAAAACCAAACCACAACAAGCTAAAAGCAAGACACTTTACAGAATAGCTCGGAGGAATACAATGACTCAGTGCCAGGACTCACAAAACCATGCTCATCACAACTGTGGGACACAGGTATTTACATTACAATTCATAACAGTAGTGAAATTACAGTTATGAAATAGCAATGAAAATAATTTTATGATTGGGGGTCACCACAACATGAGGAACTGTATTAAAGGGTCACAATATTAGGAAGGTTGAGACTTGCTGCTCTAAAGACATTGTTAACAAAATGAAAAAACAAGGCAGATATTGGAAGAAAAGGACCACAATCTATCGGTTTGACCAAGTACAAATAGAAACAATAAGAAACTCAGTATCCGTAATAAGAAAGCAATCTGTTTAAGATGGGTAAAATACTTGAATAGATGCTTTATAAGAGAACACCAGGGGTGCGGGTCTAGGGGGATGGTTCAGTTGGTGAAGTGCTTGGGCACAGTGACATGGTCCTGTAATCCTAGACCTGGGGAGTTAGAGACTTGAAGCTTGCTGGAGCGTGCTGTCCAGTCAGCCTGGCCTGATGGGTCAGTGAGCCCCAGGCCAGTGAGAGATACCATCTCAAAAACTCTATCTATCAAAAGATAGAGTCATTGAGGAAGACACACAGTGTTGATCTCTGGCCTCTACAGTCATGCGCGCGCGCGCGCGCGCACACACACACACACACACACACACACACACACACACACACACACACGAGAACATGAGGGTGAACAAGAATCACATGAAAATATGTTTTAAACATCACTAGTCACAAGTAAAATCCAGAAAACGTCACTCCACCTCTCTATTGAGTGGATAAAATTAAAAGGAAAATCTGACTACACCAAGTGTTGACAAGGACGTGGAGGAACCAGAACACTGACGTACAGATGATGGGGATGCAGTCTGGCAGTTTCCCAGAAAGTCAGGAGAGGACCAGATGCATGGCCGATTACCCAAGAGAAATGAAGGTGTATTTCCATACAAATATTTTAACATAAAGGTTTGGAGAACTCTATTTCTAACTGCCCCAAGCTGGGAACAACGCAAGTGTCTTTCAAATATGAGCAGGTAATTTGCAGTTTACTTATACAAGGAATACTACCCAGCAACAGTAAGAAGGATTGAATTGCTGATATATGCTAACACACGGACAGAAGAAATCAAATTAAGTATGTTGAGTAATAGAAGACAGCAGGGCTGAGAAAATGGCTCAGTCAGTGTAATGTCTGCCGTGTGCTGTGGAGGGTCTTTCTGTAGGCTGTGAATATGTGTTGCTCTGAATGGTTGATAAATAAAGCTGTTTGGCCAATGGCGAGGCAGAATAAGGTTAGGTGGTACATTCAAGCTGGAGAGGAAGAAAAGGGGTGAGGGGAGACATTGCGAACAGCTGCCAGGAGAAGCAAGATGTGAAGGTACTGGTAAGCCATGAAGCCACGTGGCAAGATATAGAATAATAGGAATGGGTTGAATTAAGTTATAAGAGCTAGTTAATAATGTGCCGGAGCCATAGGCAATATAGTTTGTAATTAATATTAAGCCTGTGAGTGATTATTTTATAAGCAGCTGTGGGGCCGTGGGGCTGGGTGGGATTGGAGAAAGTTCTGTCTACATACATGCAAACCTGGACACCTGAGTATGGGTCCCTAAGAATGCACATAAAAATTCAGCCACTGACTCACATGTCTGTAACCCTACTACTGGAGGGGTGGGGGATGAGAGGTGAATCCCAGGTGCCCACTGGCCAGGCAGCCTAGCTGCAGATGAGCTCTACGCTCAGTGAGAAATCCTGCCTCAAAACATATGGTGGAGAGTGATTAAAAAAGCCACCCCTGTATAAACCTTTGGCTTCCACATGCATACAAATACACATGCTTGAGTCACTGCATTCATATAGGTACACACCTTCATGAACATTTATACATCCCATGTGCACCTGTGCATGTGCATGCACACACACACTCACACCTATGCCAGCATATCTATGCTTCTTTCATACATATTTCTAGCAAATTCAAATAATTAAAGAAACAGGTTGTCTAGGGGAGGTAGGCGGTGTCAGGAGTTGTGGCTATGAATGTGTGTAAGGAAACTTTAGGAGATGAAGGACGTGTTCATTGTCCAGACAGAGGTGATGGTTCACGGGTATCTTCATGTTACCATTACAAAAGTACAACCTTTTGTATATTTAATTTCTTACACACTCATTATGCTTCAATAAATCTCTTTAAAGAAATCAAGCAGTTAATGTTGGGACATAGGTTTGTATTGTGCCAACCTGGCTAGGCCCCAGAGTCCTTCTAGACACATAAAGCTATTTTTTAAAATTCGTGAACCCTATTTCTTGAGAATTTCATATGTGAGTATAATGCATTTACATCATTTCTAGCCCCCACTCCAATTCATCCTATTACCTGCCATATCCTGTCTCAAATTCATGTGACTTATGGGACATCATTTAAATGATACTTGTTCATATTTAGGGCGGGTAGTGTGCATTTAGGTACATGTATGTGAATGGGTCACAATCAGATCAGCATAATTGGCTTGCCTACCTCAAACATTTAGCACTGTGCTAGGGACGTCCAAATCATCTCTACCAGTTTTCCTTTCTTTTTCTTTTTTCTAAAGTAGCTGTAAGATGTAGTCCCTTACTGTGCTGTTGACCCTTATGCTATTCTTCCTTTCAATGACTCCCCCTCCCCATTAACCATCCTCATTCTATCTCTTCTCTGACTCTTGTCCTTCCAAGCCTCTCCTGGCCAGTGTTCTACATCTATGATCAGCTTTTTGACTCCCTCATGAGTGTAAAAAGTGTAGCTGGTGTCTCCAGGGCTGTCTTGTTCCACCCCAAGCCTGGCTTGTTTCACTTATATGTCATCTTGTTCTGTGGATTGCAAATGACAGTATTTTATTCATTTCTGTGGCAGAGTAGTAGTCCTCTGTGTGTGTGTCAGAGCATAACATTCTCCACCCTCCTCATCCACTAGTCTTATGGACTGTCTTGTGTATTCCTATCTGAGACTCTATAGTGTTCCTTATAACTTAATTTTTTTTCACTTTAACAGGTTTCATGTAAAATTCAATATCTCATCCCCAAGATTCCAGATGGAGTTGGGGTTGGTGGTAGAGCAGAGAAGGCACGCCAGTAAGACTTACCACACCTATAACCCAACAGGTGGACAGGGCCACGTAACCCACCTTGGAAGCTGGATTTTGCAATGAGCTATCACTATATTTCTCACCTAATGGCCATTGCAAGGGCAGAAGGTGTGGAAAAATCTGGAAAGCATTACCCTGTCAACAGTTTTGCTGACACAGGAGAAGGCTGTCTATGATGGAGTCACAGATGCAATGGCTATTAAAATGATCTTGGCTATGTCCATTCCTTTAGCCCATAGCCTGTTTCTGGCTTGCAATACAGCAATTGTCTTGTCGGGCTGCTGAAGTCAGTTGTAGCATTAGAACAACCTTTGAGTGTGATGTTGTCACAATGACCCATGTCTCATTCAGAGGAAGGGCTGCAGTGTTGCTAAGCAACACCCTGTCTGCTCAGGTAGATCCATCCGTCACTGAGCTGTTGATGTTGAAGCGTACACAATGGCCTGAAATATGTTAGGCTCATAAAAGTACATTCGTCAGTGTGCTTACAAAGGAGGCAGCACCTAGCGTTAGCAGGATGAGATTAATTTAAGATAATAAATACAGTGCGTCAGTAGACAAGCATGCTTTGCAGCTTTGGTGACAAGTCTCTTGGGATGTCTGCAGAATCAGAAGAGTGTTCTTAAAAATCTGACTACTGGTGAAATAAGGCAGTCTAGATATGATAGTGTATCAAGGAACCATAGTGCCAAGACAGTGTCTCCCCTAGGTATTTCCATGTACGTGGGCTCTGCATCAGAGGTCCTCTGTGATCCTCTGATTCTCACAGTGCTTTCTTGGCTGATCAACTTCTGTTCAACCAGCCAACTGACTCTCTGATCATGGGCTGGCAACCACATGTGTGTCCTCCTCACTATACTCCATAACTGAAGTTTGAGGTACCTCCCACCCCATCTCTCTCTCTCTCTCTCTCTTGACTGGGCCTCCCTACGTAGCTTAAGCTAGCCTCAAAGTCAGGATCCTCCTGCCTCAGCCTCCTGAGCACTAGAGTTACAGATGTCTGCTGCTACCAAGCCTGGCTGCACACACTTCTCTTTTGTATAGAGATGGGTAGCTTCTTGGCTTACTTCTATAACTGGCTCGTTGTATCAGTGTTGCTCCTTTACACGTAATACACACATTTTATGAGATTACCTCTGCAAGTTTCTTGTTTCCAAAGCATACTTTGACCCTGTCATTTGGGAAAATATGGGAACCATTTTGTAGCCGCCATTTGAAACCAACAAGATGAAGGGGTTTTCTGAGCACAGATTGGTTTCTGGCAAAACCTGAGCTTCAACCTTAGTTGTCAGGGTGGGAGGCAAAAGGGGAAGATGGCTTAGATATCCTGGAAGAAGTTGGAGGCAAGGAACCTGCAGAGTTAATCTCATGAAACATTCATGCAAAATGTGAAGGAACCAGAAAAGCAAGATGGATACAATTAGCTAGTATGGAAGTAAGCCAAGAAGTCACCCATTGTGCGCTCTCTCTCTCTCTCTCTCTCTCTCTCTGTGTGTGTGTGTATGTATGTGTGTAGGTATGTGGTGTGTGTGTGTATGCACACACGTTCAGTTAGCATGGGAAGAAGAGAATGAGATGAAAACCTGAAGGATGAAGGTGGTTGACCTTGACCTTGAGCTTTATAGGTTTGCTGATTCTTATACTTGCTCTGTCCTCTAACATATAAAATTATAAAGACACTGGGAAAGATACATAAAGTAATTCTGGTTACTACTATAGGCTTATTTTCTATTATTATTATTATTATTTGATTTTTGTATATTTGTTTTAAGGTAGGGTTTCACTTGATAGCCCAGGTTAACCTCAAACGCATAACAATCCTCTTGTTTCAGATTCTCAAATAATGAAATCACAAGTGTGTGATGCCACACCTGGAATGTTATTTAACTTTATGTTAAGAAACGTGCAGACTGTATTAACACTTTTCAGCCAAGTGGCAGATACTATTTATTTATATATTTATTTCTCTCTAGCTGTTATGGGGGAGGAAAGGTCAGAATGTTAAGTAATTTCTTTAAGGGTCTTAAAAATATGGACATATAACTGGGTGCTATCACACACACACATGTTCACAATCCCAGAACTAGGAAGATGGGGAACTGTGAGTGCGAGGCTGGACTTGGACACATATTATGGCTCTGTTACACATCACAAATGTAACACACTTGTGTGTGCGCACACACACAGGAGCGCGTGCATGCG